TTTCTTAAATTTATTTCTCTTTTTTTTTAATAAAAGTACCACTAAGACTGTTAAAGAGTTAAAAAAAAAATTATATATCTATATATATTTAGTTACTACTTACTTAAAACATCTTTTTTTTTTTCTAAAGTTAAATGTTTTGTGCTGAAAAAAATTTTTTCTTTCTTATTAGAAAAGTATATAAATATTCAAGCGTACTATTTTGTTTCATACATAATGCATAGATTCTACGGTCAAAGTACATAAATATCATAATTGCTAAATTTAATGAAAAACACCTTTTAAATTCCAAGGTTACAGTTGTGTTATTTAAAGCATTGTCAAATATCTTTACCTAGTTCTTTAATTTCACATTTCAATTCGAGACCTTAATTATGCAAAAGTTCTCTTTTCTTAACATTCTCATTTATAACTTTGATAATTTCTGCTAAGCACGAATGCGGCTTCATTTTTAAATTTTTAAGTTACTACGTTTTTAAAAATAATATCAGATCTTGTATAGTCTGAATATTATTTTTGCTACAACTCGTATTACGGTTCGAAGCATGGTTATTGTTCTTAGCTACTGCACGCTTTAGACAGACAGATTTCAAGTTATGTGATAATCGACAAAACATTGTTTAATTTCGTTAAGAGTTAGCGTTAGAATTAGTGTTGGAAATAAACTGCATATAGTACAGTAGTATAATTTGTCGAAAAATTTTTTTTATACTATAAAGATTTATGTAAATTCTCGAGATAAAAGATATCTTTATCAAATAAATGTTTGTTTTAGATGATCCTAATTATGTTATAAGAGGGTATCAAAGTAAAAATCAGTGAATCTTATTATTTTTCCGATTTATAATTCAACATAGTAAAAATGCTATTGAAAAAAATCCTATTTATTTTCAAATGTATCACTTATTTGTTAATTATGAAACCCCTATTGAAATTAATTACGATTTAATATTCTGTGTAATGTATTTTGAGTAATATAAATAATATTTATTAGTCAATAAAATTCAAATTAACATTTATTTCTTAATTCATTTCGTTCTTGCAAATTCTGCGGGAAAAATGAAAATCGGAAATTTATTTGAATTCGTAAAAAAATTTATTACATTTAATTTCGCTAAAGTCATATTCTGTATTCCAATTTTTCACTCATTCGTTTTACTCATGGTAGCGTTATCGATAGAAAATATTTTACATTTCAATAGATACTCAAATTTCAGTTCAGCTTCACATAGTAAGTAGTAATAATAAAAGATTATTTTTCAACATAAAAGTCATCATTTACTAATCGATGAAATCGAGAACGAATAGCATGAGTTTATTCAACTTAAAAAGTATTGTAATTTTGAACAAATAATCTAAACATATACATAATTTTTAATAATCATCAGACTTATCTTCATAACCATAATATCTACAAACAACACCAAAATTTGTAATTTCTTTAATTACTTGCTTAATCTTTTCTTCCATCGAAACATCGATAAAAAAATTTTTGTAATAAAATATAATTTCTTTTAAACTTTTACAAGACTTAACGTTAATAAATTTTC